GATGCGGAGGAGCCTTCATACCGATGCACATGTTTGTGCGAAGATGGCACACCGTGCACGGCCACTTTCAAGAGCAAACAGCAGCTTCTACGCAAGGGAGTACACATGCGGTCATTCCAGATTACAGAAAGCTGGCAATTACCAACCAATACCCTTCTTGCCGACATGTGTTCAGCAGCAGGCGCACTGCACAACAACACACTAGGCGAGCTTTGTGGAATCAGACGTGCACTGGCAGAGGTAGTGCTGTGGTGTTTGAGCCAGAAGTTCCCAATCACATTGTCTGCCCATATTGCTCGGTTGCTTTTACAGAATTGTCACAACTGTGGGACCATGTGGTCCAACATGTTGCTGGGCCCAGGCGCCAAGAGCAGCTGTAGTGAGCCACGTAGCTTGAAACCCGACTGCTTCACAATGGATGCTTGGGAGCTTGGCCCTCCTGCGGCAAGACCGATGGCGAAGCGTGTTGCTGTGGGGACCGAGAAGGACATGGCAAAGGCCGTGCATCTCATCGCAAGGTTGTGCCCCAAGAACTCTCTTGAAGTAAGACAACTCCAAGCTGCCTGCTTCGTGATGTTCATTCTCCCCAAAGCCTGCCCATACGTCCAAGCAGTGGTCAATGCCACGAAGCAGTATGCGGACAAGGCTAAGGGCGCGCAGTCGGGCAAGTGTGAACCTCCACCAGGAGAGCCTCATGTACATGCTTGGGCGGCGCTGTTGAGGGTGGCAATGGACGACGAGGCTCTCAACACAGATGACCGACAGGCCATTGAGCAACATCGTGCAGTGTCGACAGACCCGCTCATCATGTCCGGCATCGTGTATGTGTGCAAAGTCCGCAAAGCTTTTGACCGAGACAGCATGAAGATGTTTTTCTCGGTGCATCGTGATGCGGAGCCGTCCTTGACGGCTTTGACGAAGGGGCTGATCCATGCCGGCGGCAGGCTCAAGCGTGGACAGGCCCCAAGAAGCGGGCTGGAGAGAGAAGTTCAAGAAGTGGTAGATCACTTGACCGAGATCTTGGGAGGGAAATGAGCCGCCGAGCTGACGTCAGTCCGTAGATTTTGCTCCCTTTTCGTGCCACTAACGGCAAGTTTGAGTGATGGCTCGCTGGACTGTAGCTTTGCTGGT